TACACATTAATTAATTATTTTTATATGTATTTTTAAAAATGTAATTGTGTTTTAGATATATCCTTATCATATTATCCATTTTACTTGTCAGTGTAGGCTGGTGTATTGTGGTTGCTTTGAAATATTAAAAAATGTATTTGTGTTTAGATATATCTTTTATCATATGATCCATTTTTTACTTGTCAGTGTAGGCTGGTTTATTATTGGTTGCTACAACATACTTTTAAAATTTTAAAAATATATTTGTGTCGATATATATCTTTGTCATATCCATTTTACTTGTCAGTGTAGGCTGGTTTATTATGGTCACTTCACCATATTTAAAAAATGTGTTTGTGTTTATATATATCATATTACCCATGTTACTTGTCAGTGTAGGCTGGTTATAGTAATTGCTTCAGCATATTTAAAAGATGTTGTCCTGTGTATATATATCATTATCATATCATCCATTTTACTTGTCAATATAAACTGGCTTATTGTGGTTGTCTTCAGCATATATAGAAGTGTAATTGTGTTTTAGATATATCTTTATCATATTATCTAGGTTTTTTGTTAGTGTAGGCTGGTGTATCGCGCTGGCGTTAACATATCCAGTAAAGTTGTTCTTTCAATCATTTACTATGTTACATTCTAAAATACAATAGTTGCTAGCAAATTATTTAGTTAGTTGTAGGTGCATGGCCATCGTTGTCGTTGACTGGTGTGTTCTTTGTTGGGCCAGATATCCCAGACTGTGATGGTCTCTGTTTGGCGCAGTTTGGGCCGATTATTTAGCCCAACAATTAGTTGATATGGGATTTATATTGTTATTAATGTAAACCCTTGTATATATGTTATTTTGAATTATTTTGTTAGTAGTGAAAACTCTTGTATATATGTTATTTTATAATTTTGACGTCATTTATATATTCAGTTAATAAATGACATTATTCACACCGATACGATGACTTATTGTAAATAATGTATTTTGTGTTTTATCCAATCATAATGTTTCCGTTAATTTACTGCGGGATTGTTATGATGTTAATGAGCTGATTGAGATTTCCCGCCGTTTTAATCATTGTTTCAATGCTCAGCCACCCACCTAGACGCTTACATATTTTGTTGTGAAGAATTGATAATTGAAGTGTATTTTACGATTTTCACCCTCCTCCACCCCATATTTTGATACCGTTACGGTACCTGAAAATAATAATAGACCTATCATACACGCAAAATCTTATTTTAATTCATGTGTTAAATGAACTGTTAATCTCACCAAAGTTATAATATACAAAACAGACTACTAATGTATCGATTATTCTTCAGTATAACACTTATCATGTGCATATGCCGCATGTGTTATGGATGTTTCGTCATGAAAGGAGTGCATTTACTACAATTTTCGTCGTCAGCAGCCTTAAAATCATAAATAAAAAAAATATTAAATGACAAAATAGCAAATAAATGGTGGAAATCGTCGGATCAAATTTTTACTATTCAACGACAAAACAGCAAATAAATGGCCTGGTTGCTATGGGATTTTGTTTTGGAACATACCAAATCTTTGACTTGCTTTTTCTCTAAACTTACTTTTGTGAGTTGGGTAGCTTCGAATGGACAGAGCTCAGTCAATTTTTGCCCGTTTCAAACAAACTACCCTTAGCAAAAAGTCCCATAGAATCCTACACTAAGAGATCTATAGAAATTCTATAGAGTTTTTTTTTGGGGGGGGGGGGGAGGCGTGTCCAGTTGAATTCTACAGTATTTTGTAGAAATTACTTTAGAATTAGCAAACTACAGAAATTCTGAAGAGTTTTTTGGGGTGTGTGTCCCATGACAATTCTATAGAAAAATTGTATAGTATTTACTACAAAATCAAGCAACAAAAATTCTTTACTTATCTACAGGAAATCGTCTAGAATTCTACAGGAAATCCTATAAATATCTGTAATATATCCTATAAATATCTACAATAAATCCCATACGATTCTACAGGAAATCCTGCAAATATCTACAGTAAACCCTATACAATTCAACAAAAAATTCTATAAATTTCTGCAGTACACCCTATAGATTTTACAGGAAATCCTATAAATATCGGTAGTAAAACCTACAAAGTTCTACAGGAAATCCTATAGATATATGAAGTATATCCTATATAATTCTACATGAAATCCTATAGATATATGTAGTAAACCGTATGGAAATCCTATATATATATGTAGTATATCCTATAGAATTCAACAGGAAATCCTATAGATATATGTAGTAAACCCTATAGAATTCAATAGGAAATCTTATAGATATATGTAGTATATCCTATATAATTCAACATGAAATCCTATAGATATATGTAGTATATCCTTTAGAATTCAATAGGAAATCCTATATATATCTGTAGTATATTCTATATAATTCTACATGAAACCCTATAGATATATGTAGTAAACCCTATAGAATTCAATAGGAAATCCTATAGATATATGTAGTATATCCTGTAGAATTTAATAGGAAATCCTATAGATATTTGTAGTAAATCCTATAGAATTCAATAGGAAATCCTGTAGATACGTGAAGTAAACCATATAGAATTATATAGGAAAGCCTATAAATATATGTAGTATATCCTATAGAATTCTACAGTGAATCCTATAGATATCAGTAGTGAAACCTATAGATATATGTAGTATATCCTATATAATTCTACAAGAAATCCTATAGATATTTGTAGGAAATCCTATACAGGGGCGTACATAACGATTTTGTTTGGGGGGGTGTTTAGCGAAAATGTGACCATACCCCCACTACGAGTGACGCAGTCAAGAACCGAGCACCACAGGTGCGAGTTTTGTAGGGGCCATGTGAAGTAGTGGATCTAGATAGGGGTGGGGGTGGGTTCCAAATCTAGGGCACCACCTCAGCCACAAACCCACCCCACAATGAATGTCAACAAAATACTGGCTATAACATTAAGCGTCCCGGTAGAACATAGATGGTATTGTATAATTATATAGTTGTTTGCCGATCGTTGTCTCGCTGGAAAGCAGTTTTATTTCAGTTGACATAAAGTTTATGTCATATAGATTGTGCCTATAACACTGAGCAACCTGAGAAAATTTTGAAAAATTGAGTCAATATCTTGGCATTTGAGGTCATTGCTGGGAGAAATTCTTGTGGACGAGGGGGCCAGAAATGTGAGTCAATTAGACAAAACCTCGAGATCTGCCCCCTGTCAATTCCGCCTGTTTTGCAAGAGTTGATAGAACTTTTGTATAGTCTGACGCCCCACGACCCACACACCAGTGCCAGTGGTACTACTAACATAAGTAGGCAGTTCAGTATAACCGTGAATATGATAGTGCTCAGACAGTATAAGACAACAGAGGAGTGGAAGAATGATGTTATAATGGAATCGAGAGCCGCAGGCGCGAAAAAATTTGAGATGTGTAACCGAGCTTTTAATCTTTGGGACTGGGCCTGACAATTTTAGTCAATGTCATGGCAAATGGATCCAAATTCTCGTTAACGAGAGGATAAGAAATGGGACAGAATCTTGAGGACTATCTGTCAATGTCGCCTGTTTTGTGAGAGTAGAACTAACAATTCTACAGTCTTTTGACCCACGACTCACTCACTAGTGGTACTACTAACTGAGCGATTCACTGTAACTGTGAATATGATAGTGATGAGATAGTAAAAGTCAGAGAAGGAGTTGAAGAATGATGGCATAATGGAATTGAGACCAACTATTTTTTTGCCATGGGGTGAAAAACATTTTTTTCAAACATGATAAGTCGACAAGGTTATTTTATACTAAAGTTTTGCTTGAGTAGAGTGACGTGTGCAGTAAGCATTTATTTTGATACCGACTGCTCATATCTTACGACCGACTGCACTGATTTTGCGACCGACTAGTATTTGGGATCTATTCTGGCATTATTTGTTTACCTCATTAATTCATTAAGACGGCAATGCATAATTTTGAGACCGACTGCAGTGACTGCACTTATTTTGAGACCGACTATTTTTCTCCCTGGGGGAAATTTTGTTCTTAGACCTACATACTCACAACAGAATAAGAGTGAAACACATTAAGTTGACAAGGTTATTTTATACTAAAGTTTTGCGTGAGTAGCGTGACGTGTGCAGTGAGCACTTATTTTGATACCCACTGCTCTTATTTTGCGACCGACTGTACTGATTTTGCGACTGCTCTTATTTTGCGACCGACTGCACTGATTTTGCGACCGACTATTTTTTTTCCCACACCCCCCCACATTTACACCCCTGATCCTATATATATATGTAGTATATCCTATAGAATTCTACAGGAAATCATATAGATATATGTAAGTAAATCCTATAGAATTCCACAAGAGACCCCACATATATCTATAGTATACCCTATTCCCACACCCCCCCACATTTACACCCCTGATCCTATATATATATGTAGTATATCCTATAGAATTCTACAGGAAATCATATAGATATATGTAAGTAAATCCTATAGAATTCCACAAGAGACCCCACATATATCTATAGTATACCCTATAGAAATACCTCCAAATATCTGTAGCATTGACTATGTAGGATTTGACCAAACATGTCCTTTATACATGTGGTCTTATCAACAAAAACTAAAATTCTTATAAATATCAGTAGTGACCAGAAGTAGGTGGATTATGAGATAATTGCTTGTGGCACGTCACATATATTATAAGATATAATGGTTTTTATTTTATAAAATTTATGATGGAGGTGGATGGTTTGAAACCGGGTGTGGGGCGTGTGATAATTTCGAACCTGCAGAAGAGGGGGGGGGGGTTAATGACAGATTGATACCAATGTCAAAAAAGTTTGGATGAGGGTCATAGTAAAATCAGAAGCATTATTTTCCGGATGATGTTGTAGCAAATTTAATGTCATTTCCAACCTTCATAAATTAATGATACACTGCGATTATTTCAAACGAAAATAAAAACCCAAGATAAATGTTAAATATTTTATTGCACCTCGTTGTTTGGTTTGATTTTCTTTTTTTTTGCAATTGTTTTAGATGCATTATTTGCATTATTCAGCTTCGCCCGAATATACCGTTTGGCTTCGGATTCTTTTTTGCATATTGTTGGAAATGTTGTTTGAAGCTGGGCTAGAAAACAAAACAAAAATATATTACATTTTATTCCTAACAGTAAAGCATGCTGTATATAATAAAATTCTTAAAATTGCAACATTAATGAATTATAGCACCGCTGGAATATTTGTCAACGACTAAAACAAATCATTGATAATATTGCCCAAACTTATTTCCAATCGCTGAATGAAATTTTTCCCCCTGCAAGTTTGATATTGGACGAGCAATACATTTCGAAAGGGGAGATGTATTTATCTTTCCGTGTTTGAAAGGGACGTGTCTTTTATATTACCAACCGAACAGTTATTTAATGTCCGTATAGCACAGAAGTATACATTAAAAAGATCTTTTTTTATTTAAATTTATACATCTAGTTGTGACAATTGAGAAATCGGGACCATGCGATTTTGTTGGTCGCAATTTAGTCACAAAATGTCTTATTTACGTCGCAATTTTGCCGCGCTCCCAGTGGCGCCTCGGAAGTTCGTGCAGTTCTTATTTATGTCAATATACGCCCATAGCATATATCAGTGCGACGTAATCTGTTAACTATGTGAACTTGCCAACTAAATGCAAAGAGAACTGTTCTCGACATGGTACCCAATCTCTACCTTGTGCACTACATCCGTCATTACTTATAGCTAATAGGATTAAAAATAAATGAACAGATTTACCTATAAGCATTGTCCCATGCAACTTATCCATCGGATCTTTTATCTCGTCAGTGGATTTGCTGCGCTTGAATCCTGTGATGGAATGTGTTGCCATATACTCATCGTCATATAAACCATGCATTATATCATTGATGAACTTTTGTGGATTCTCTTTTGAGCATTCGTTAAGCAGCTCTGCAGTTATCTAAAAACCAAAAACGAAATACCAGTATTGTTTTACATACACATAAATATTACTTTGCACAAAATGATTGGCTATTAACGGGTCTTTAACGCTTTGTTAAATTATCATTGAACACGCCCTATTGTGTTTTTTTTATGACACCAAAATAATATTGTTTTTCAACAAGCAAGTAAAAGACAACTACTTGATATAATATTACCAGTAAGTTGTTTCTTGGCAAAATGATATCAGGTTTTTAGTTCTGTCTATATAGTGAGTGGGAGACCCCACCCCCACCACCACGTTTACCCCCATTTCAAAATATCGGACAAAAGATCTATGCATCTGTGTAAACTTACAAAACTAGTGTTAGGTGATCTATTTTCACGATTAACAACCTCCTTTTCTGTATCGTAGGTAGTATCGACTTCCTTTAATGATATAAAAGATTCGTCCCCCTCTTCTTTCTTCTTCAGTTTAGAAATCAGGTTCTCCGTTTCTTGGACTAAGTCTGGTAATTTAGAAATCAGGTTTTCCGTTTCTTGAAGCAAGTCTGGTAATTCTTTTTTTTTTTCAAACAAAGAAAATGAAAGCAATATGTTAAAACAATTACATTGCTTATTGTTATTGTTCTTGCCATTTGTTATAGATCTGTATTTTTAATTTCGAATTAAGTTATTAAGTGTAAACCTAGTATAATGGAAAGTGTAGTGGGACCGCATGCACCAAGAAAATAAACATGCGGACATGAAAATGCGTTTGGTCTCGGAACCTGGCTTGGTTTGGTACCTCAAGTTTTTCTAATTGGAAAAAAGGTGACTTCACACTTGATATATCAATAATATACAATACAGTGCTCTGGAGATGTTATATATAAGACAGGAATAAAATCAGAAGAATCTTATGACATGTTTAAATAGGGGTTACCCTTTTGGAGCTTGATAATTGTTTATTTGACTAAACAATTAGGTGAGTTGATTCGATTATTTTTTCTTTTAAACTAAGATTTGGTGAAAGTGATAATTTCTTATGTATGCCATTCAGGAGTTTTAAATTTTCTAATATACGTTGAATGCCTCAAACTTTCTTTAAAGACATAATGTGTCAACTTTCATTCAAAGACAGTTCTCGAAATGAAACAATTGGAATTGCAGAAAATGGCAATTTAATTCACGCCAATTTATTTTTATGTTTTCTTTCTTTTATGAAAATGTACTAGGTTAAATCAAATTTATAGTAATACTATATTATACATTACTCACTTTTATTCAAAGCTATGATGGAAGTTAAATTTTTTATATTTTGTCTGTATAATTTAGCGTCTTGCTGCAGTTTCCAATTAGATTTTTTAAGAGTTGTGATATGAGTTCTTTCATCATCCGTGTCGGGTTCACTGCATGTCGTATGGTCACTGTCGGAATCCTATAAAATATATATATATATATACAGATATAGAGCTTTATCAACATATTACATGATCATCTTTCCTTGGATTTTACGGGGGGGTTGATGGCCGAATTGTTAGTACGTGCGCGCTGTATTATAAAGCCTGTCATTGAGTCAACTGGCGTGGTTTCGAATCCCCGGTTGTACGTGACAAGGAGTAGGGTCGCATGTCCAACCTCATGGGTTGTCTCTCTTGGATTTTACAGGCCATAACGCATAAATAATAAACATAAACGCGCTTGGTCGGCTATGTGCTACAAGCTATCTCAATGTCAGCACATTGAAGAAAAAATTCTATGTAACTTTTCCTTTTCAAGAAATCCAGGTAAAATATCAAGTTAATATACATGCAGAGTGCTTTATAACAGTCGATAGGGACAGAAACATTATATACGTGTGGAAAAATAGCAAGTGTGTTAAATATAAAGCCCTTATTTCTATAAAACAGAAATATAAGAGAGAATCAACATAAATGATGCGACCGGTTTGGGCGGTGCCGTCTGCTATAAGTGACCGTTTCCCCGATGCCCTGGTCATGATTACATCAATAGACTAAAATAATTTAACTAATCATACCTTGCTGTTTTCTAATGGACGCATCTGTAATGAATTTTCAATATTTCTCGCCCTCTTATACATATGTAAAATACTATTATTAGCTTTCTTGACAGAATCGATCTTTTTTTTTTTCAGGACCTGTAATATAATATTAAATAGTTCAGAACATATCGGTAGAAGTATTATTGAACTAATAATACAATAGCAGACTTATCACGACCCAACACATAGCATAATAAAATGGCCCAATCAATTGTAATAGTACACGTACCCTCGCACGGCACAGTTCATGGTGTTGAACACGTGTCTCAGAGAGATTCGTAAGCAATCGATTCCTGCTTGCAAGGATATTTATATATGTTCAGGATATATATATTATGGTGATTCAATGAGCAAATTTGGGTAACTAACTCCTTCTTATAGAATAGAAAAGAATTATAATTCTAAATTTATTGCGCCAAACAATTCTTTGAAAAAAAAAAGACCTTTCTGCTGTTATTACTATGTGCGGTATTCTCATCACTATTCTCACATTCTTCGTCACTGCTAGACAGTGTTTTTCTTTTCTTCTCCCTCAATCCTCTTCCTAATTTTGGACTTTTAAATACTTCTTCCAGATCCTTCCCATTAACAATTTCTTGAATCACAGTTCGTAAAGTAAGCTCCGAATCTACCAATAAAAGAAATATGCAAATCTGTACAATAATAATATATTATTGATCTACTTATATGTTTTATTTGGTTTTTTAAAAAATATATTTTAATAATGGATAAACTTGGTCCTAGATTAATCAGTGCCATTAGTTTAAAACTGAATCTATTTGCCAATAATTTATTTGAATATATAGGAAATTGATGTAGCATTGTTCTGTTAATTTAAATATGTGATCTTTTATATTCTGTTCTCTTAAAATAAACACGAAATATGACATCATTTTAGAATTTATTATTATTTATTTTTATATAAACAGAACTAAAATTTGAAAAGAAGTAGTGCGTTATCTGTTAAAACTTACCTCCAAAACATACTATTTTAGCTGGACAGCTTTCAACTTTGCCGTTTTTCTTCGATTTCAAACCATTTTGAGGCCAGTTGACTTTAATTTCTGTATCAAAGTTCCAGTCACTATTGTTTAATTGATTTAAATTATATTGTTCAGAAACAATATCTACCCATTCCACTAAACCCAGTTCATAAGTAGGTTCAACTTCTTTCACAAAGTAAAAAACTGCGTATTTAGACGACATCTTTCAGGAATAAAATGTATTTCTGCGTGTGTTGGCGCCAAAAGAAACACTGACAATTTTGTAAAGATATGGTGAATCTCGTGAGATTCGGTGCCTGTTAAAGTCATTAAAGTGTTGTGATAATAACCATTGACGTGTGTCACTGTAGTTCCTGATTGACCTCTATTACGAGGAAGGCGTGGTATGTTACCTAACAAATAGAATTAATAGCCTGCGCAAAATATGTCATAGAAAAGCGCAACACATCGTCTCTATAAAAAAAAGTTCATAAAAAAGAAGATCATTTTCGGAGAATTATGGCATTCTTCCCAAGACCAAGACGATGCAAAAGGTACTTAGTAGATACAACATTAGAAATCCCACATGAAACAAAGAGACGGCAGGAAAAAGCAAAAAAAGATGATGTTGATCCAATATTTCATAATGAACAAAATGATCTTTCGGTAAGTATATAGTAAAATACTTATTTACTATGATTATTTACTCTAATCATGATTTTATTAAAAAAAAATTGTTTAAAGTATTTTAGAGTAAATAATCATAGTCTTATTTTATATTAAAAGCAAAGCCAAGTAAGTCCATATTGTCGATTGTAGGTTCTTGTCAATTGTCAATCGATTAATATACTGCGTAGAACTATTTGGTTTGTTTCAAGTTTCGGCATGGTTTCCCTTTGCCAGTGGTGCAGGAAGGGGGTCATTCGGTTGGGATGAAAAACTGAGTTCCCGTGAATATACCGATGGTAGTTGGAATTCAAAATAAGTCGTAGCGCCAATGTTCATGCAAAATTTCCCTCGTAGCACGCTGCATGACGTATAAGCCTGTCTTCATTATAAACCAGTCCCTGCATAAACGCAGGACGTCAACCGCAATTTCATTTTAATTTTGTTTATAGTCTAATGCAATAGGGTGAAATTCAGAGTAACTCTACGCTATATAAACTGACCCTAATTCTCTCCAAAAGCTGTCGTTTATGCGAAAACCCGTTAAGAATTGGAAAACACATCAATTGGTTATTGTTTAGAATTGTTCGTTAACTCATTTTGTCCTTGATATTTAAAAAAAAACCAATAATGTCAGTGTTTTCCTTGAATCTTAATTCCTAAAGCTTTTTAATTAATTCTATAGTTTTCTTTTCCTATAGTTTTGCCATGAATTCTATAGTTTCCTATATACCACACTTTCCAATAGTTCTGCAAAGAATTCTACAGTTTTCAATGGAAATATGTGGTTCACTATTACGACACTGCTTATATTTTTAAATGAATTCCGTAGTTGTTGACTTAATAAGACATAGTTTTCTGTAAATTAACAGATATTTATTTCCATCTCTCAATAGACAATCCATGAAATTCTTTTCTAGAATAATTGTAGTTATAGCAATTCTTGTGTATTAGATGGGACCCATTTTATACTGCAGTATAAGAACGATTTTATAGACTCTATAAAATACTATAAAATTTAAGGTAATAAGAAGAATTTTAGTGTTTTGTGCTATAGAATTCTATAGATTAATATAGTATTAGTAACTCATCTATAGTAAACTACACTTTCCGATAGAATACAATTCAAATTGACAAGCTTACTATAGTTGACTACACCATTCTTCAGATTACTATAGTTAAATCATTCTCCACAATACTTTAGTGCGCCATCACGTAAAAATAGTATATTCCCTGGTTCTATAGGAAAGTATATTCCATACATACTTTAGTTCACTATACAAAATCTATAGGAAACTATAATTCAGATTACAATTCCACAGATTTATTTGAACTCCCCTCAGAAAACTATAAGAAGCAACAGTTTATCAGAAACAATATTTACACCATCTATAAAAACTACAGAAACAAACAAATTTCCTGTGGTTTTCTATATAAGTCTTTAGAATAATACAGATTTCATTTCATTTATAGAATTCTTCACATTTTCTGTAGGACTTTTTCATAAGGGTATACATCAAATTGAAGGTAATGAGTTGGAGAATGTGAAAATAACAATAACTCTATTTTTAAAATTTCCTCACATCAACTCAGTATGCCATGGGGGGTCACATATAGTTGCATTGCACTACATTTTCCAGACCTTTGGTATTAAGTGAGGGGGATGAAATATAGTAATGATTATACTATACTTGTTGTCCCTTTAATGTAGGGTTGTGTGTGAGAGAGTGTATAGGACTACTCCAGTGAGGGAAGTCAGTTAACTTGTAGTTGTCAGTGTGAGAGGACATACCATTGTGTTGTAGTTTTCATCATAGTTAACTAGAATAAACTCTTTTAGAACTTATACTTCTGTCATCCAATTTATACAAATAGGCTGGAAGTCTATTCAACAAAATGAATAAAGGCATAACGAAAGAAAGCTCATCAAACCAAATCTACTTAGAGATGCTATGATTATGATGATATATGGGTGAATGCATTTACTGATGACTAATTTGTCACAAACTAAATGCTATGTTTCCTCAATATGCTAATGAAAATGTAACAATTTAACAGAGATAACTGACCAATAATGATCAAATTTTCAATAGTATTAACATTTCAAAATTGTTCACTTTTAAAAATTGAATTTTAGTGGATATCTTGTCGACTCAACAACTATAATCTATTGACAATTTAAACTTTGTTTTATTGTTGAATTAGTTTAACTCAAATCTTGTATGACATACCAATGTTACTCGCTTTTATAATATTGTAACTTACCCATTCAATAGGTTTTCATTTCCCCGTACACCTATATCCTTGGCCCATTTTGCTATCTTCAGTTTAATTCCTCTAGTGTTTCTACCAACATCCTGCATTTTTTCCATAATTTTTTCCCATACTCGTGGAACTCCTAAGAAACCTGTGGGTCTGACCTCTTTTAAAGTTGCACCAAGCGATCCCTGCATTCAAATTTATTGTTAACTGTTAAACCAGTGGTTGCCATGCAAGATACACCCATATTTTGCAAGAGATGGATGGAGAACAAGCTAAAAAAAACCCCAAGTGGTTGCCATGCAAGATACGCCCACATTTTGCAAGAGTTGAACAGAGAACAAGCTAAAAAAAAATGCAACTTTTGGTACAATCTGGGTCCATAATCCAAGAAATTACGGTCCGATATGCGCGAATATGAACCAAGATCTTTTGGATATAAAGATATTATTGTGATAATAAATTTTGTGATATGCCTGTCTGATATTTTTTACATATGGGCAGCTAGCTCGTACTATTTCCGGTGGCGCGTCGATCTTTTTCCTGCCACTAAGACTTGTGCTCATTTTCTATCCTGCTTGGATAGGTTGTCTGATCAGCTGTCGCAAAGAATAATTTGGAACTGCTTATTTCAATCCATAATTCACGCGCGCCACCTGGTGAGCTCCTCGTCGGCGAACCCCATTGTACGTACGATCACTGTTTTTTCTGTAATTATGTGCAGGGCTATGTTTTAGTCTTGTTTTATTGCAATTTATTGAACGTGCATCATTGACCATGCCACTTTTTTCTTTGTCTTTGCATAGCGTATTTCAAAATGGCGGTCCTGTTCCCTTTGGCATCTTCATGGAAAATTATGAAAAAATCGGGGGTGGTACGGGTGCCATCAAGACCCCTTAAGGTAGTGCTTTTTGGATCCTCGTATGTCAAGAGGTTGAGGCGGTTCGTAATGAATGCTACGCAAACTTAGGTTTAGATGCTCGGAACTGCCATGTTTGGTTTTTTTTGGGAACGGTGGTTTACTGGTGAGACAGGATCCGTTCCACCGACTGCGACATAATTCATATCGGTTTATAGATGCCGACATCATTATAATTCATTTTGGATCTAATGACTTATCAAATGGGTTGAGGACTCCTGTGGAGGGTAGCCTCGGATATTTTAGATTATGCCAAGCGTTTATTAGAAGGTTTTCACCCGCAATTTGTGATAATTAGCCAATTGTAGCCCTGGCATGTAGAGCCGTGTCATAACTTTAATAAATTTTATACTCAGTGCTCAGTGTGTCAATTTCCCCAACATTAATTTTTGGAGACATCGATCAGGGCAGTGGAATCCAGTGGTGCATATCTATGGCATATCTAAAGCGCTACAGAGCAGTCAGACTGACTGAATGTTCAGCGCTATAGAAAACGATTATTATTATTATTATTATTATGGTGACGATGGGATTCATTAGTCCGATCACAGTTCGCTGGTTTTGCCAAAGGGTATGTCTTCTTTATTCATGCTTACTCGCTACTACCCCAGTGGGAATAGTGGTACGTTATAGGTCGGGTAATTCTACTAGAGTTTAGTTGTAATAACCATGGGCGTGGATTTAGGGGGGATGGGGGGGACAGGTCCCCCCCCCCCTTAGAATTGAAAGGGGGGACGAATAGGTCTCTGTCCCCCCCCCATGATTTTGATCGCCAGGACAG